AAATCTAATGAAAGTGCCAAGGAGCCTAATGAAATATCCTAATGAGAAATATAAAAAATCGTAATGAAAAAGCGTAGGAGCCTAATGAAATATCCTAATGAAAATTCTATGAAATGGTAATGAAAAAGCGCAGGAGCCTAATGAAATATCCTAATGAAAATTCTAAGAAATGATAATGAAAAAGCGCAGGAGCCCAATGAAATATCCTAATGAAAATTCTATGAAATGGTAATGAAAAAGCGCAGGAGCCTAATGAAATATCCTAATGAAAATTCTAAGAAATGATAATGAAAAAGCGCAGGAGCCTAATGAAATATCCTAATGAAAATTCTAAGAAATGGTAATGAAAAAGCGCAGGAGCCTAATGAAATATCCTAATGAAAATTCTAAGAAATGATAATGAAAAAGCGCAGGAGCCTAATGAAATATCCTAATGAGAATTCTAAGAAATGGTAATGAAAAACCGAAGCAGCCTAATGAAATATCCTAATGAAAATTCTAAGAAATGATAATGAAAAAGCGCAGGAGCCTAATGAAATATCCTAATGAGAATTCTACGAAATGGTAATGAAAAACCGAAGCAGCCTAATGAAATATCCTAATGAAAATTCTAAGAAATGATAATGAAAAAGCGCAGGAGCCTAATGAAATATCCTAATGAGAATTCTAAGAAATGGTAATGAAAAAGCGCAGGAGCCTAATGAAATATCCTAATGAAAAGTCTCAGAAATGATAATGAAAGGGCCAAAGAGCCTAATGAAATATCCCCATGATATCTCATTATCCTTGTCTATAACTTATGAAAGATTCCAGTGATAAATTGAATGAAATAGATGGGCAATCCTAATGAGATGCCTTTCATAAAACCTGTGGCATTATACACAATGGCTCTTGGACAGTTGTCATAGATTAATCATAAAAGTGGTAGCCACCAGTCTATGCATGGCCGCGAACGGGCTGATCTTGTTCTTGGACAACTGCGGAAAAGAGATATCGCTTACATGAGGGGGATTTTGACTTTGCAAACGCCTTCAAGAGGGCACGGTTCTCAAGGTCTGAAAGAACTTTCTCCGAAGCTGGAGGAAGGGAGGCGCTGGTGGAGGGCACAAATTGGGGTTGGGAGGGGGAGCTGGGGTTGTTTAGGGATGAGATCCGCGCCGTTGCTGATCAATATAGGAAGGATAAAATGATGAGGGGGGTTTGTTTTTGTCTTAATGGATAGATCTCCAGTCACTCCAAGTGAATGGCCAGGCCATCAAGATCACAGCATCTGAAGGCACAGATGTAGAGCTCGCCTTCGTTTGAACACTGGTTTTCATACCTGCAAACTCTTTCTCAAGGACGGAAATGCTGCACGGCCCAGCGTATCGTGTCGGAGTCCTCACATTGGCGATGAAGGCGATGAAGTCGATGAAAACGTCTGGTGAATTTACATTATTTCCTTATCAAAAGGAGCGGTCGCTGACGGCTGTTCATGCAGCTGGTTCTATTTAATTCCCAACATGATCTCCCGCGCACACACCTCTCTAAACCGGCCGTTTGTAAAAAAC